TCTCTCTCTCTCTCTCCCTCCCTCCCTCCCTCCCTCCCTCCCTTCCTCCCTGTGTGTGTGGGAGAGGGGTAGCACAGAGAAACCAAAACAATGTACAAATGTGTAATATTTGGCTACTTTAATTGGTGGTTGGGTTTATCCATCACACTAAGTCACATATAATTTAAACAATGACATTGGCCATTAAACTATTGGCTGAAATCCTAAAACATGCTAAGCATAAGCTGTGGTTTATATATAAACATTGCTCTAAGCCAATTAAGTTACAAACACCGTGTTTGCTCATTAATGGTAAGAAACTGATAAATCTAAACATTTTTTTCTACTGCTTTATCAGTTAGAGTACATCATTATATTTAGGGTCAATAAATTATCTGGCACAGACTGTCTCTGGGATTCACTCGCTTATGAGATCAGAACTAATCAGAAGATCAGTCAATACTTTCTTCTTTTCCCTTGCATTCTATAGTAACCCAGCAATTACCGTAAATCCTTCTGAGGAAAGCTGCTGAGAATTTGTCCAGAGATATAGCATGGGAAAGAGGATTTTCCTCTTCTATTGGTTCCACGCTATGGATTGTACACTCTTGGGAATTGGATTTGACCCATTCTCATTCTACTTTTAATACATTTTTCTGCCACGACTTTAAAGAGCTTATATTTGTGTTTTAATTTATTGGGGCTTTTGGATTTCTTTTACTGCATTTATTTTTAGTTTACGCCCATGTTTTGTTTGTGTGTGTATGTGTGTGTTTATTCCACAAACTGCTTTGAATACTTTCCTCTCAAAATAGAGCTACATTATATATCTAATTTATTAAATAAAATAAATATAATATATGTCCAGTTTGGTTTAGTGGATATCAGGCTCTACACCTGTGAGGAAAGTAGGTTGAGTATTAGCTGCGTTCACTGCCTTGAGTTATTATAAAAGTTGGATAAAAATAAAAAAAATAATTTGTTATTTAAGGTAAAGGTAAAGGTTCCCCTCGCACATATGTGCTAGTCATTCCAGACTCTAGGGGTGGTGCTCAGCTCCGTTTCAAAGCCGAAGAGCCAGCACTGTCCAAAGACATCTCTGTGGTCATCTGGCCGGCATGATTAAATGCTAAAGGCACATGGAACACTGTTACAGTCCCACCAAAGGTGGTCCCTATTTTTCTACTTGCATTTCTATGTGCTTTCAAACTGCTAGATTGGCAGAAGTTGGGACAAGTAATGGGAGCTCACTCCATTACGTGCCACTAAGGATTCGAACCGTTGAACTGCCAACCTTTCTGATCGACAAGCTCAGTGTCTTAAAACTGAGCCACTGTGTCCCACTAATTTGTTACTTAATGCATGGCAAAGCCAAGGACAGTGTTGCTAATGTTCCAGATGAATTAATTATGAAAAACAGGCCGCTTTGCAGTGTTCTTTGTAGAAACTGAGATCCCAGCAAACAAGTGTAAAGGGCCCTTGCTTTTTCTTTTTCTTTTAAACTGTTAGTGGGATGGGAGGGGATAGAGCATTGGTATCAAACTTGCAATGTCATATGACATATCATGATTCCCCCCCCTTTGCTAAACCAGGGGTGGGCATGGCCAGTATGTGACACATCTGGGCCATGAGTTTGACACCCCTGGAATAGGGGAAAGAGCAGAGCAGAAAATAGTGACAGAATGGAAGCAGGATAGCATGTTGCCTTTACATCCTATGAACTGGGAAAGGGTTGAGGCAACAGTTCTTTATGGAGCCACCTGCCCCAGGCCTTGCAGGAATTCAGCAAGGGAAACTTCATTGCATTTCCTTTGGAGCAGGAGCAGAACTGATGAACTTCACTGGCTCAACAATATAAAGTTGGCTAGAAATCACCATTGCATTGTGGGGAGAGGCAGGAATGCCACCAATCAGCACAGATATTATGTTGGACAAGTACTTTGATGAACTTCAAATGCATATAGTTTTGCATTTCAAAAGTTAGAACACAAGAAATATTATCAATCTATTCTGTGATGTGAAAAGCACCGAGAAGCTTCTATAGTTTCAGTAGCATGCATATTCTTGTCTTGCATGTTTAAACACTACTAGTGTTAAACTTATTTCCTAAATCAGTTCAACCATCATCTCATCTTAATGGTCTAACACTGGCATGTATAAAAGATTGTTTTCTCTCATATGAAATATTGATCTCCATAAGATATATTTCTGTAATTTATTCTATGATAATGGCAGCAGTGGCGATATTATATTTCACCATCACTACCTGTAGAAAAACCCCTACCAATCTCAGAAATGTCAGTTCAATCATCTCTGTGGCATAGAAAAGGGAAATGAAGTCCAATTAATCTAAACTTCATCAATCCAAAACAACGGTTGTGATAAAATATTTTGGCTCTTTGTAATAGTACTGAAACATTCCTTTGAATCTACCTTTTAAATTTTATAGCAGAAATATATTGTGCTTAAGGAAAAAAAAATAAGAAAGAAACATTGGGATAAAAAATGGGATGGGACTAACATTATTCTACAATAATTAAAATATCATTAATTTAAATAGAATAACAGTTGGAAAACTAACAAGTAGAAAATGTGTTCCCTCATAAAACACATACATTTTCTTTTTTTCATGGTTATCAAAATATTTTTTAATAAAGCAGGGAGAGTAACAACTATTGCTTAGAATATCCCTGTCTGAATGCCCATCAAAATCCTCATGTTTTGACAAAATAACACTGCATTATACAAGGGGCTGCCCTTGAAGTATCAAGAAGCTTATATTCGTGGAATATATAGCAGTCCTCTAGCCAACAAAGGAGAGCCTTTATAAAAGGATGGGCAAGTATCCTTTACATACTGGCTCAGGAATTCTGGGAGTTGAAGTCCGCAAGTAGTAAAGGAGCCATAGTTGCCCACCTGTGCTTTATAGTAAGGAGACCAGATTTTCAGATTGGTAAAGAGGGACACCATTGACTGGTGGGGGGGGAGAGCTAGGCCATGGTGGTTACTGCCAGCCCACGGCCTCGCTAGGGAAATCTGCTCACCTTAATTATACATATCCTCTCTCTCTCTATCCATCCATCCGTCTGTCTGTCTATCTGCCTGCCTATCTGTCTATCTAGTTATGGTATCCCGCTCCCTCTTTCCCCCCTCTTTCTCTCTCCATCCGTCTATCTGCCTGCCTACCTATCTCTCTCTCTTTCTCTCTATCCATCCATCTATCTGCCTGCCTANTTCCAGAGGGCCGGAGCAGCCACAGAGAAGGCCCTCCCCCGAGGAGTCGCCAGCCGACATTGGCCGGCAGATGGAATTTGGAGGAGGCCTAATCTGTGGGATTTGATAGGTCTTTGGGAGGTGACTGGCAGGAGGCGGTCTCTCAAGTACCCAGGTCCGATACCATTCTGTGGGGCAAGCCTGAAGAGGGAAGGAGAGAGGAGAGGCTGATGTGTTTTCAGTGTGTAAGGGTGTGTATGTACATGCATTCACATATACAGTATATTTATATACTAAATATATTGTGTGTGTGTGTGTGTGTGTGTACACACACACACACACATACAGCATATATACACACATACCTGCACATAGATATACACACACTAACATATATATCACACACAAATACACACAAATGCATACATTTCAGATGGTAATGGTTTTAGGCATATTATTTATGACATTATTTATAAAATAAATACCTATGATACTTACCAGTTGGCCTTCAATGATAGTTTGCCTGTTATGTCCTTGGTAGTCAACCATTCCTATAAAGTCAAGATAGTCATCTACCCAGTACACGTATTTGCTGACAAGGTCAAGTGTAAGAGCCGTCGGCTGCTCTATTTTAGATATTACTATCCTTGTTCTGTTCATGCCATCCATGTCACACCTCTCAATTTTAGCCACATTCCCATAGTCTGTAAAGAAGAGCTTTCTGTAACGAGAAATTTCAGACACGTTTTAATAATTATGCACATTTAACCACAAGGACATAAAATGCAATCTGTAACAGAAAAGTTGTGTTTTTCACTTACGTTAACACCTTACACATTAGCATCCAGAAGAAAATCATTCTCAGTTTATTATAGAAAAACATAGAAATATCTTATGGAACTTGAACACTAACGAATATATTCATAAGTTTATCTCATTATACATGTTCTAGTCTTTAAGATACTACCTCATTGTTTTAAAACATTTGAAATTCATGTTTGTTTTTTTCAAAATAGAACTAATTAGCTAAAAATGGTTTCATTCACACACCTCCCTATACTTAGTTGCTGGATTTTATTAAAAAGCTGAATAAATAAATAAATAAATAAATAAATAAATAAATAAATAAATAAATAAATAAATAAATAAATAAATAATAAAAAGTATAGATATGTGAAACAGGAATTTGATCCTTTATCCAGGCACTTCCAGTTCAGTGAGGTCTTTGGTACTTTCTGAGTTTGGTGGTTTTCTTGCAGACATTTCACTGCCAAACTAGATGACATTATCATCATTGATGCATCATGTCCTGTGCACTGATGGCGTTACCTGTCTTGGTAATGAAATGTCTGCAAGAAAACCGCCAAGTTCAGAGAGCACAAAGGACCCCACCATTCAATCTTGAGCTACAAATAGTCTCTTTTATTGGAAATTTCATCTTCATCTAGTAACTGTAAGGAAAACTTTTATCTATAAATAAGAGCAATGTAAGTATTAAATACAGGTAAAAATAATATTTTTTTAAAAAAATGAGCAATAGTAATAGTAAGAAGGAAAACAATTTTTAGTTGCATATACAAAAAACACATTTCAGACTATGATGCTTCATTTGGGGGTGGGGGGTATCAAATGCCTATTTTTCTCCCTTTTATCAAGGATATCCAGAACATAATAATCCATGTATGCCTTTGTGAAGATAGTTTCCAATAGCCTGAAGCAACACATTAGAGAAATAATTAAGCAGATGGAAAGTAAATGTGAGGTATTGACAAATAACACATAGAAGTAATCCAGACTTCATGACTAACTCATTTATCCCAAAGCGTATCATCTTGTGGAAGGTAAATTATTGACAGATAAGTGTTATCCATTTTAAAAAGAGAGCAAAAAAAAAAATGTTCCAGTGCATTTATCTGTCCATATATTTGACTCGCTGATTACATTTAGTGTAAAACTAATAGGAATCTCTGAAACCACCAAAGCTTCTAAGCCTGATATTTGATTAGCAAATACTGTGTTTAGTAAATCACAAATCAATTTCAATTAACCTGACAATATTTTAACAAGATTAATTTCCCATGAGATTAAATTACATTTGTAAATGGAAGCCCATCCCATCATGGCTCTAGTGCTAGAGGAAAAGGCATCTGTTTTCTGGAGACTAAATGTTTAGATATTGCTTAGAAAACTAATGAGATTATTTTCTGGGCTTAGTAAAAAAAAAAATAGCATTAGAAGAAAAAGGTTGCGTTGGTTATTATTTAAGTCTCCCTCCCTCTCTCTCTCTCTCTCTCTCTCTCTCTCTCTCTCTCTCTCTCTCTCTCTCTCTCTCTC